AGTAATAGACACTAAATTTTCAATAGCACCTGCACGTGCTAAGCGGACTGTCATAACAAAATAGAACCGACTTGGGTTTTGATCAATGGATCATTAGTAAAATGGTAGAATATATTTATGATTGTGCGAATAGTTTCACATTTCTATCCGTTTATGGGAGGACTGCTAAAAGATTCTGTTTTCATAAGACAAACGTTTAAACGTTGTTCCATTTATTTATTTGCTTTTTCATCTTGTGAACGTTATCTAGAAAGATAAGAACGGGCTACCTCGGACGCTCCCAGACCCGGAGGCTGCTTTTCAATTATGTGGTCTTATATATTCACATTAAAGCACCTTTGCTAAAAAATGATAAGCCGACCTAGGCCGAACCAAAGGTTGACGATCCAGTATGACAGCGAGTCTTTGGGCAGATAGAACAGAATCTGAATCGAAGTCTCAGCTGATTCGGTTGATATCTATGGAATTTTTTGAAACTACGATTCTTAAATTTCATTCAGTTGTATTCTATTGCATGCTTATGTTATCAGTATTTCTTACTTCTTAAACGAGCCAATCCGTGGACCAATTAAACTCTCTCTACTACCCTGTCTAATATACAGATAGCTGTCGGAGACTCAAGTTTTTTAAACTAAGAGACGGATATGCATTGGTGGGCCATGTGTTTAAAAACATTTTATTAGCAGTCGGAATGCATATGTATAGTCACTGGAGAAATTGGTGCACAATGGAGGACAGATGTAAATCGATCAACATGGAACCCTCAGGAGACAAAAATTAAGTTTTATGTCAATTCAGTGACTCGGACCATTTACAACATCCAAATGATCTGAAACCGATGACAGGCTTCATGTCTGGTGGCACGGAGGTAGGAATTTATGTTTGATTTTTATGTTTATCATTTTATTGTTTTTTTTTAGCTTGCTGCTGATAGTAAGCCTTGTGAACCGTTTAAAAGATTTTCTTCGCTCCTTATTGTGGTGGCCAACTAGAAAGCCTTTGCTACTTTGGCCACCACACACATTTTTATAATCTGTATGTACTTTATTTATTTTATTCTATAATCATTTGTTACAACTTTACTTTTCTATCTATGCTAATTTTATGTAAAAAGTGTGAAATAAATGAACCAATGAACCATTGTCTTCGGCAACTCAGATGAGACAATTTCATCTGCAAACCTTCTAAAATGAAGCCTGAAAACACGTGAATCGGCCAAAGAGGAAACAAAAAATGGAAATATTAAGGTTGCTATATGACATACGTTCTAATTGGCTGAGACAGCGTGCTTTATCAGAGTACCAAGAAGGGAGAACGTCTCGTTTCTCCCCCTTTACTTCTTCTGTTCCGTAACNAAATTCCTCAAAGAAGAGTTTTGTAAAAGGACGATTTTCGCCGGAAAAAAAATGTTTTACAATATTTCGAAAAAACAAGGTGGTTTCGATTACTATCAGACTCATTGGTAAAGTTTGACAGAAATCTATTTTTGAACCGAAATGCATCGGATCCTATTTACAGAGAAAAATGTAAATGCAAATTTACCTCCCATAAATGGGAAAAAAATACTTTTATACTAATATTGATGAAGATGACTTAAGAATTCCTTTTCAGCATACAATGCCTTTCTTACAAACCTCAATGCCAGTGGAAGATTTGGTCCAACGACGCTGGGCAGTCACTACACAGGTCAGGATCATGACGGACAAGTTACAATGTCCAGCGGTATTCAACAGTGGACTGTGCCGTACACTGGCAACTACAGAATAGAAGCAATTGGAGCTGTAGGAGGGTACGATGTGCACACTAACAGTGCTCTGGGCCGCGGAAGAGGAGCAAGAATGATTGGAACATTCAGTTTAAACAAGAGTGAAGTCATTCAGATACTTATCGGTCAAGAAGAAGGAATAAACAAGGAAAGTTATTCTTCTGGCGGTGGTGGAGGTACATTTGTAGTGATAGGAGCCAACAAATATTTGATTATAGCTGGGGGTCGAGGAGGCATAAACTATCTAGGGTCAAGGCATTCAGTATGTGATGCTGGTAATGGTTCTTCAGGAAATCGTGGGTACAAATCCTGGACAGGGGGGAGCAATGGACATTGTGCACAAGAGGCTGATACTGGCAGATCAGCTAAGTGGTTTATCTCGATATGTCATTAACTGTTTCCGAAAGAAAACTTTCATGTCTGGTATCCGCATATCGATTAATTGTTGTCAGAAAAAAGCCTGAAAAGTAAAACTTATTGAGGTCAAAATGAATGAATATGAAGGTGAGGGATTTATCTTTGTTAAATGTTTAAAAATCGTTTTTATTAATTTTTTTTGTTTTTTTTGTTTTTGTTTTTGTTTTTTTTGTGTGTTTTTATTTTCTACGTGAAACTTTAAAATTAACGCTACTTAAAGGAACCTCGCTCAGTTTCTTGAATTCTTCTCCCCTGGAGGGTGTGTTTTATCTTAAAGTAATTCATATTTCAATTTTTCTTTTAATTTTGGGCCGTAGGCATCGATATCGCTATCACGCAGATTCTTTCACATTTTTCCTTTAATTTATAAAGCGCAAACCAACTAATGAAACTTGTCATATGAGTTTCACATGAACACTGACTCAGTTGTTACAAAATTAGTCTGCGATTGACCTATATTCAATGACTGAGGAATTTCTGTAGTATCGGTCTTCGTAAATCTCTGTCGTATGAAAGTAAGTCTAATCAGTCGTGGGATGAAAACTTCCATTAAGTTCTAAATCTTAATGCATAGATAAAGAATCAACTGCGTACAACTACTATTTTCTTATTGTTATCATATTCCCGACAGGTGGCGGCGGAGGAGGTTTTTACTCCAGCGGCAGAAGTGCTCAGCAGTTTGGTGGTAACACTGGAAAGAGTGGAGAGGGTGATAAAGGATTTCTTCAGGGAGGAGTGGGTGGTAGAGCTAAGGTTAACGATGCCGTTGGTGGATTTGGTGGAGGTCGAGGTGCTCATGGAGATGCAGCAGGTGGGGAAGGAGGAGGAGGAGACTACTCTGGAGGAAGCAGTGGAGATAATGAATTGATTCCTGTGGAGGCGGTGGAGGATCCTTCAATGCTGGTAAAAATCAACATAATGAATGTTGCTATCGATCATCTGGCCATGGTCAGGTGATCATAACCAAACTGTAAAAGAAGAAAACTGTTATGGACCATCGAAAAACTGTCAGCGCTGACTGATTAAACAGGTCCAACAGTACATGCAATTTTGAGCAAATCCATAAAAAAAAAATTCAACATATGGTCATAGCGCGGTTTTCAATAAAAATACGTACTTTCAAGTGTTAAAAAGGCTGATCTCGAGGGAAACTGTCTTTTTCTCGGGGTGGAGCAGGGGTGGACCCGAGGGGGGAGATGTTCTGTTCCTCGAGTGAACAGCCGTTAAGAGATTTATTGTACAGCATAACGAGGAAAGTCAAGGTTATATTGTTAAAAAAGAAAAAAAAAATTAAACCCAAGGTTGAATGATATGTAACCCCACAAGAAAGAAAAATACTGTCATTAATACGTAATATGATGTCGTGTTACCTTTGGGCCATCCAAGATCACGATCTGTTTGCGTGCAAAGGTCAACATTCGCGGATAACATCGTACTGTTACTCTCAAATCGTCTTGGATTTTAATTTCATAATGATACCCCCTCAAACACTTTTGACGGAAATCATTTCATATTTGGAAGTCATGTGACTCCAAAACCAACCAATGAGAGCGCGCACTAGTGAGGAAAGAACGCAGCTCTTTGACAATTTATCTCATTTTGATCTGTTGCATTTTCTTAAAGCTAGGGTTAGGGTTAAGGTTTGGGTTAGCGAGGCTGCATTGTAATTCTTTTCTTTTTTTTTTTTCTTTAAATAATTTAGTCAATTTTGAAAGAACAATACAGTGTAAGTGTACGCTACCACATTTACCTTGTAAAAATTTAAGGCTCTTTGAAAATATTGTAGAGGTCTTGCGGCCAAATTTAAATTGCCTTCTTGATCTTGTTATTTATTGTGTTTCATATCAAGGGTTTTTTCAAGGTCTAGAACCGCTTGCTCGTGTTTCTTGTAGACCTCATATATTAGTTTTAGTTTATGAAGCATAACATTTGTTTTAGCTTGAGGGAAGTGGACGCCATTCTAAAAGTTCTCTAATCTTAACGTTGTATCTTAAACAAAGGCTCCAACTCTTGAATTTCCCTTTGGAAACATTTCAGTCAGCCAGTCTTCATCCTCCACGATCAAAGGGACTGATAACTGCTCCCCACATGTGACTGATTACGCTTGTTTCCGAAAAGGTGGAAAGAAAATAAGCTTAGGGTTACCTTAAATTTCTGCTTTCACAACAGAAAACAAGCCATTTGCTCAGGTTTTAAAAAAAGTCTCCACTTTTCTTGTTCTTCGAAAATCCAGTGATATCATTAAGCAGCATAAAACGTAACATTACTCAGTTCTAATCTATTGAATTCGGGTATCTCACGCCTCATGACTCGATCACAGCCAGTGCCAGCTACGATAAGCTGAAAGAACCATCTTGGTGAAGCCGTTTGATTCCCGCAGGTGCAAACCTCAAGATTCTCGATGGAGTGATGGCTTTAAGGTGAAAATGTATCATAGAAAGTGAATTTAACGATTGTAAACCAGTAAAGGAATACCTATCAATGCTTTCATCAACTGTCCGTGTTTCTTTTGTCTGAACATTTATAAATTAGGGAAAAGACATCTCTTTTGGGGGGCTTGATGCCACATCAAATTTTTGAAAGGGATGAAGAGACAAAAACAAAAAAAAGAAGTCAAGAGTTCTCCATGATCGTTCGAGTTATGTTATTTCTGATCATAGTTAACAATTATTCACTGAAGTGGAGGTGAATAGTTGCAGATATTTACCGAGCCGTATATATCCAACCCTTTCAGGCACACTGAAGTGAATAATCGCATAATAATCGTATACCACACAGATACAAGAAAGTTAACGAATCCGTGTCAATATACCAAAATACGGTCAGGAATTAAACTCTTGACGCGCGAGTCTGTCCCATTGGCTGATCGGAGGTGAATAGTACCTGATATTCACCTCCATCGTTCCAAATACCACTAGAAAACCCCCCCTCGGCTTCATGCCCCCCTCAGCATAATAAACGACTGGTCCTAAAATCCCCTTGAGTGAACTCTTAACCTGTGAGGAGTTCTGATAAAGAGAAGGGCTGGAAAATATACTAACTGTAGGTATGCTTCCAGTGTTACAGTATTTTAACCTGCATATTAATTACATGTACCGAGAGATTCCATGTAGCACTCAAGTGTGTGGCAAGTGATTAAGGCCAAAATTAATCATGTGTGAATCATGAATTATAAAGAAAGGTGAGCGTCATTCGTGAATTATTTAACCAGAACTAAAACACATCAAATATAAAAGAAGATAACCTTGAAAAAAAATTAATGAAGTGGATTTTCTCAGCTGTTTTCAAACGAGCTTTACAAATAAATTGAAACAAAAAAATTTCAGATGACTTTTTTCATTAAGTTTTGCCAGTAGAGTGTGTAAAGCTTTCACAACTCCCATGGTATAATGTGCAAAATTCGTGCAAAATCTCTGTGAGGCACTAAGAATTTCGGGAAAAGATCATCACGACACTACAATTTACCATTACTATCTCGAAGGAGCTTTGAAATGAAGGGAAAATGTTTTTTTCTTTAAACTTGCGAGAATTGGAAGAAATTGTGAACATTCTCTGTCTTGGTTAGCTGTCTCGTTTTTCTTTCCTTAATAAAAGCTCTTCCATTCAATTTTTCCATCTGCAATATTTCAAGCTTCATGGAAAGCTGGGTTCAGCGGCATATGCGGCCAAAATGTAAACAAAAATATTGGCTTCGGGTCGTTACGTTTGTGATGCAACTACACTTCTCCCAAATAAAGTCGAAATAAAGGAGTGGGATGGGACGCAAAACTGACTGGTATCAAGGGTAAAAGATACATTAATTTCAGGCGTGAACAAGTAAGACTTAAAAATGGCTCTAAAATTGCCCTGTTAAAAAAGCTGACGGTCATAATTAGAATTGTTCTGTATCACTTGCATGATGCGTGACAGATCGACATCTCGAAATTCAATCGATCATATTTCTGAAGTCAGCTGGGCTAAATTGGTTGGTCATATCATTCACTGCCACACTGAAATCTATCATGCTGCTCTGCTTTTGACTCGCTTTTGACTCGCCATGGAAAACAGTGTACGAGATACAAAAATGACCGCAAGAAAGAGAGACGGTGCCGAAATGGTTTATAAGTGTTCGTCCATGTTGTCTGTTGTTGCCATTGCTTTCACTTTTGCTGTCTTTGTAAGAATCGAATCAGTCGCTCAGGCCTCGAAGACGATGGACTCCAAGTTCACGCTGCAAATTCAACAACTCCGAGATGCCCTCAGTAAATCAGCCTCCCGCAGTAAAGAGGACCTTGAAGTTTCTGAAGGTAGTAATGAGAGTAATTAAGTTTGTATTACTTAAAAGAAAATAAAACGTCGTGCTTGCTTTTTTTTTTTTTTATGTTGGAACCCCAGGAATGATCGATCGTCAAATAAACAGACTGAATGATGGAAGATTGCCAATGGCTTTTTGACCTTATTTTAATAGAGTAGAACATTTGCTCTTCTTCAAAATATCGTAAAAATGTCGCCAAAACATTAAAGATATACAACATTTACAACATTAAGAAACATTGAACATCGGTTGAAATACGAAATGATAATGAAAATTGAATTTAATCCAACAAGTTCAAAACATTGGTCAGTTTATTTTACTTTGTCCATCTCAGACATTCAATTTAAAAGCACCGTGGTCCGCCGTAGTTTGGATACCTATAACTCTAATGATCCTGTGGGTTTGCGAGACATGGGAGAGGCTATCAAGAGATATGTGCGATCGAATATGAAAGGATATGCCTGTCAAAGTCCGGACAGGGTCTGCGTGGCAGGGCCCCCCGGACTCAGAGGAAGTCGTGGTCCCCCCGGAGAACCAGGAGTCAAAGGAGCAAAGGGAAAGAAGGGAACACAAGGAGTTATGGGACCTCCAGGAGAACCAGGAAAGCAAGGCATCAAGGGAGATATTCGGCCTGAGGGAGTCAAAGGCGAGAAAGGTAAATAAGGCGTGATAGGTGGGGAGTTTTTAAACATCTCCCTTAACTAGGTAACTTGCTTCCAAATTATTTTGTTCCTGCACTTTGAACAGAGGCCGTTTCTTTTCAGTTGCTGTTGACGTCCTCACAATAGTTTTAAGCATATACAATGAAATATATGAAGTTCATATATTTTGAACTGCGGTATTAGATACGTATGATGCACGATCCTCGCA